TTTCATATTCATAAACGTATACATCTTCCTTCTTTTGAATGCATATAGTTTTGTTAAAAAGTTATATAACTGTAAAATACTAAGGGAACAAAAAGGAATTTTTGCCTGTGATGTAAGGCTGAATAATGGTCGTTTATATGTAAAATGGTTTTGTTTTGTTCCTAAAATACATTTTTTTAAAAAGAACCCCGTACAGCACAAAATTACCCACATTTCACTGCGTTGTACTGTGGTACGTTTTTTAGCCGGCCAAAATGACCGATGGGAGCACTTGTGGTGCATTGGTTGATAGTGAAATGATTTAATAAATAAATCTCTTTACTGTGCATGTTTTAATCCCCTTAGTATGTAATTTTACAACTAAAGTGAAATTTTAGTAGCTGAGCATAAAAGGAAAAGAAGCATAACGCATCTGAAGGTCATAAACGACCATAAAACATCAGTTTAAGTGTTGCGACACAAAAAGACTATTTTGTCAATGACAAAAAGTAACACCACAGCATTTCATTGATCCGATCACATATTCGTATCCAATCATACAAATAAGTTTAGAGAATCTCTGATTCACCATGCCTATAATGGTTTCCCGCAGATTGCTCATAAACAATATTAATTTAGGAACATAAACATATTATGTAAACTGTGTAGCGGCAAGGCTTATTAAAATACAGGAATTAAGTTTTCTGCTCCCTTGCCAGTCCCTCTCTCTTTCATCTCAGTGGTGCTTGATACAGAGAGGCCATTCCATTTGGTTCACAATTAAGGTGTTTTTCTAGCTGATAGAGTGTCCTGATAAGGAACGGCTCCCCAATTCCTGAGATTCTCCAGCAACCTTAACAAATGGTTATCTGGTGCCTTAAAGTCCGAGATTCCAAGGGAGAGCCTGATTCAAAGTTTGTTTACAACTCTAAGGTCAGAGGGCATGGTTACTCATCATCAGCCAATTAGGAACTGGTAGGGCAGGTTAAGCCCACGTGGTTCTCTGAGGCCCATGAAACTTTCAGCCAATGAAAGACCTGCATTTCCTCCAGGAAAAACAGGCAACACAGAGTGCCTGTAGAACAGTTCCCAAGAGCAGGACATTCAGCCTCAGGGCTCCTCCTGAACATCCTCAGACTCAGTCTGGACCACCATGTAACGGCCAGTGTGTCCGAGTGCAGGACTTTCCTTTGTCCTAAGAGTCGAGGACGGAGGTTGCCAGCGCGTAACCAAAGGATCCACCCGAGGTTAGCATCAGCAGCAAGCCTCGTGAACAGGTCGAAACTGTGGACAGCTGAATCAGTATTCAGGACTAGCGCTTCATCAGGAATGAACTGGTCCTCTTCCTGACCTGCTGGGACCCACAGTCACTTTTCTCCTGTGCACAAACTCTGCTAGTTTCAGCCAACACTAACTAGCTGGTCTTCAGAGAGCATCAGCAGCGTATGCAGCCGGAATCTCTCCTACCACATCGCAAGCCGCACCAAGCACTGCCTGGCACCGAGCCAGAGAGCGCCGATTGGACAAGCCAAACAAGCCTGCAGATGCTTCTTTGTGTCCGCAGGGGATCTGACTCCACACAGATTGGATGAGTATTCACCTTTCTGCATTACCGGTTGAGAATTCAATTGTTATCTCAACCAGTTGATATCAATTTAATTCCTATGAGTGATGTACTTGCTTTTGAGTATTTAGTGTAGAAGCTGTAACCAATTTCATTTACGAAACGGTCTAAATGAATGACATACATATGTCCCCCTCTTTGTAACTCTTCGTGATTGAATATATACCTGGTGTATTCTGCTACCCTCACGATAAGATCCTTTGTGTTTATATGCACATTTTATGTATTAATAAATGTATTCTCATGTATTAGTACCTGTGTGTGTGCATTGTTTGAGTTATCCCAGAAAGTTGGATTCTAATAGCCATCTGAAGAATAATTTTTGTGACTTGCTGCTACAATTAATAATTGTTCCAGTTAAGCACAACCCCTACATTTACTGGTGTCTCGTGAGAGGATACCTACAACTGTGTATGGCTATATTGGTAGTTTAAATAAAAAATACACACCAGTATCCCACTTTCTTCCTAAACATTTTAAGCATCAAAGTCTTTCATTCGGTTACATACTGTGGTTATTTTGGAAAAGGTTTTATGTGCTCCTTCTGACTATATAACGTTTATATACTTTTTAAAAAGTTATAATGTTTTAACCTTTTCTCCGAATACTTACACTCAATATCGCAGTAAAAAAAACATACTTTTTAGAATTTGATTAATAGGGAATATAATATTGAATCGCATATCAAAAGAAATTAATAACAATGTAATTATACTGAAGAATCTAGAATAAATGCTTTTAAAAACATATCTCCTAAAGATCAAGCTGCATATTCTTTGCCTGTCGGCAGGAAACGGATAGCAACTGCAGTCCGTTCATGATTTCACATAACGTCTATGCGGAACTCGTAACATCCTGTTTTGTGAATACTGTGTTCTGGCAAAGTGCATATAAGGAGGTCTTTTCTGTTAGACCAGCATAAGAATGGAAAGGACTGAGTTGACAGTTAGCAAGTCATATGATGCATGTGCTAATACATAAAATATTTATGTATAATTAAAATTTTATTATGAAAATGGAAGGTTGTGTACTTTTGTCCAACTGAACAATCTTGCTTTTATAAAATATACCAACTTTTAAATGTTTAATGATTAACATGCTGTAGTACACAGTTTAAAATTGTTGAAAGTCTAAAATGTATACAACTTAAATTCTTAATTGGAAAAAGATTGTCCCTTAGCAGTGACTGGGATTCTGAACCGAGCGTTTTCTGGCGACAGCTCAAATGCTGTACATGAGACATTAAACTTTATTAGCACCACCTGGCAGTTTTACAAGGTGCTTCCGGACACCATAATCATAATCTAATTTGCATGCGGTATGAAGAAAGATATAAGATGTAAACAAGGGGTTAACTGATTCCTTTCTGCACAAGGACTGGACTACTTGTGACACAAGACATTCCAGACTTAGAGTTATGGCAGGAAAGGGGGATAACTGATAAGGATTCCAGATGCCAGCTAGAGACCCCCCCCCAAAAGGAAAGCTAAAACTGACTATTAAGAGTGGTCAAGGTCTGGGAACTGTCCAAACATCGTGACCTCTCCCCATTACCATGGAAACGAACTATGTGAGAAGCGGCTGAAATGTGCTATATAAACCAGAACGCTTACCCTGTTTTAACACAGCGTACTTCAAGCATTTTGAATGGCTGGATCTGTATTTAGCTACCATTTTGAATGGCTGGATCTGTATTTAGCTACCACTACCATCTACTGCATGTACAACCCACTAATGTACAGTATATGTGAAATATATTTTTCACAATTTAATTTTAAAGTTAAATTTATCCTGATAATTTGTTGCTGAAATGTGCGTTATGACTCAATAAGAGTGATCGTTATACAATTTAAATTCTATATTTGAAGAAGATTGTCCCTCAGCAATGACCGTGATTCGAAAACAGAAGTTTTTTGGTGACAGACCAAATGCTTCCACACACCACATTAAGCTATCACTGCTCCACCTGGCAGTTTTACAAAGTAGTGCTGTCCAACAACTGAATATTTTTAAAAACGTGCAGTACCCCGCAGTGCATGCACCGTATTGTACTGCCATGAATTATGAATGGCTGGATCTGTACATTTGTAAACAGTTTATGATTTAACAAATGGTTAAACAGATAAAACACTAAAAACAGTAGGAGAACCATTATCAGCTATTACATATATTTTTGCAGACTGCCTTCATCTAAATGCATTTATCTACATTAATATTAATATTTCCCAATAGCAGGCAGTAGCTACTAGGTCACTTGGCCTGCTAGGGCGTATGGGCTAACATCAATCAGGGGGAAGCTGGCTATAGAAACAGGCTTTAATCGCCCAGAGACACTGTTTTAGCTTAGCAGATCCAATCGCAACTCCACTGGGCTTCCTGTGTCTACGTCTGGAGTCTGTGCGGCATGGCTGTGGTGACATCCTGCAGGTCTTGCCCAGTGCGAGTACTTCACTGTTAGTTATCTATTGTCACCGGTGCACACACAGAAGGAATTCACAGAGACCCGTTTTTTTAATTTTTCTAAATAATGTTTTCCTTTTTTTTATTCTGGCCTTCTTTTCGTTACTAATTGTAAAAAGAAAATATACACATAAAAACCTCAACTGTGATTTTGTTCAAGGGCATCTTTAAATTCCCTTACTGTTTGGATGTCAAATGGCCAGATATAACTAGTTTTAGTTCAATTCCTGGGGTGCTAACCTCATGGAGTTTGCATAATCTCCCAGCGTTTGCGTGGGTTTTCTCTGGGTGCTCCTACAGTACAAAGACATAATGGTGGGGTAATTGACTTATGGAAATATCTTTCCTGATGTGAGCATCTGTGTGACCTACAAAAGACTAGCATCCAGGATGTACCCAGCTTTGCACCATTGCAACAGACCTGTTCTGGATAAAGCAGTTAGAAAATGGATGGATTGGTAGATGTATAATTGTAAAAATGTTCCACTTCAAATACAGTATGGAGGATACTATCTGCAAAATGTGTTTGCTTAACAAATAAAAATATTTTCAAATATGACTAAAATATGTACTTGTAATACAGTAGCGTTTCCAATTTTGTTTTTTGCAAGTTATTATTAATTGCGTAGGTCAACTTAGTACATAGCACAGTAACAAAACATACAGTACAGTATGTAACTCTTGTGTTACATTAAGATACTGGAAACATTTAACTATTTACTCTTTAATTTCCTTTTTTACACATAGAAAACATTGGTATTCAAATGCAAAACATCCACCCCCTCTGCACAGATTGAGATAGCAAATTGTAGGCACTGACAACCTCTCTAGTAATTAAAAGTATATTATCTATTTGAGTGTTACTAACTATAAACTTCATTATTAAGACAATCACTTCAAAACCAATTCAAATTGGAGAGAAAATGACGAGTCTTACCTCCAGCAACTGCAGCTCCTGTACACAGTTGTGCAGCAGCTCCAAGGCTCTCTGGGTTACCTCCCAGGGGCGCTGCAGGAATATGAGCAGAGTACACTGCCGGGAAAACAGATAACTACGTAGGTCCAACAAGCTGGCCTGGCTACGCTGTATGAGATCTCTCTTCTCCATGTCAATAGGCTTCCGTAGGACTAGTCCATTCCAGTTCTGTACAGGCTGGCAGAATGATCCTAGCCAATTTGCACCATCTGGTGGGGAACAGAATACATAACAATACAGTGTCATCCAGGACTTACCCCATGCCATAGTCAAAGGCCTATTGTATCATCCACAATAGATTGCTGCCTACCCAGAGTCAGAGTGGATATTTAACCAAAGCATTTTCTACTAAGCAATATCTACTAAACTATATTTACTAAACCAGTGGTTCTCAAACTGAGCTCCGCCAGCTGGTAGGCCATATGAGCCATTGAACTTTGTTGTGTGCGCTGAAAAATCGGGACGGTTTTCATATTTTCTATTTTAAGACGTGTCGAATATGCAGCCTACGTACTACGATACAGAGCACGCTAATACTTCAGTGGACACAAGAGATACTCCGTAATTCTATACCACTCTATAGGAATGTGTGCTACGGACGCAAGTGACCAATTGTATTTTAAAAAAAAATATCTCCAGCAAATAGGGAGGTAGGAGAATGTGGGTGGTTTTGGAACAATGCCAATGTTGTAAACACAGGAATGCATACAAATACGTGCTATTAACGCTTGTAATCTTGTGAGCACAGGAAAGCGTGATAGATAACAGAAAAATATTCTAGAAAATATAAAGAACTGTTCTAAGTTAATTTGAGAAAAATACACCGAGCGTCTCTGTGTTTTGCTCCCATGCGCATGAAATAACTTTAAATAAATACGGAAATAAAAAGGGAAACACGGAAAAATGCAAGCTTGCAGATTTCTAAGCAGGTAAGCCCCACACTATCCTTGAAGAACCTTATTTACCGTTGGCAAAAGAGCTGAAGTATTGTGTGGAGAAAAGGCTGCTAAACAGCTCGACCTGCTGCCCCCCCCCGAAAGACACGTTCATTCATAGAATTATTGAAATGGCGGATGATATCAAAAGTACGCTGATAGAACGCGTTAAGATGAGCAGATGTCTTTCACTGCAATTAGATGAGTCTGTAGTCAATTTGGCCAATTCACTCGTTTATGTTAGATACGAGTTTGAGGGAACATCCCATGAGGACTTTCCGTTATGTAAGCCGCTACCAATTGGAACTACAGGAGAGCACATATTTCAGCTTCTGAATGAATTTATCGGAGAGAATGGCATTGACTGGATAAAATTTGCCATCAAGAAAATGCCTGACGATTTAAAATCTGTTAAACTCTGTTTCGAATTGTATCAAGGCTCGAAAAATTAATTCACATCTGCTTTGCTCAACTAAACAGGCTCACCACCTCTGCTTTTTTATTATTTTTATTTGTTGTTGTTACTATTTTTTTCTGTAAAACGCTTTGAGAAGCCACATTTAAAGGCGCTATATCAAATAAAGTTTATTATTATAATATTTATTATATGTATGTGTGAGTGCATGTGCACTCGCGCTCATTTTGGTCATTGAGAATTTCTGGGGTTCCTATGAGATGATGACTTGTAGGTGGGTACTTGGATGCTTTGTTTGGATTAGGGGTGGTACTTGGTCCAAAAAGTTTGAGAACCACTGTACTAAACTATATCTATATTTCAAACTTGACATGAAAGAGTACCCCAGAAACCTTGTAGCCCAGAAACCTTGAAAGAAAAATCAAACTTGGTCAACATACTATAAGACAAAAAACAACATAGAAAGAACTACAGAAAGGGAGAGCTACACAATAAAAGCAACTGCCTTCCTTTGCCTAGGTGTATATCTATCATTACAATCAGTCATTCTGTCCATTACGAGCTTTCTTCCAACATCTTATGTCATTTGTATAAACCTATCAACTGCTACAGTATAAAAGACGTCTAAAGGAACTTCTTACCTCCAGCCCCAAAATTCACCACATATTGAGTGAAAAGGGCATCCAATTCATCATACTGAACCAGAGCATCTTCAAACTGCTGCAGCATTTCGAAAACAAAGGCCAACTCCTCCTACACAGGAATATATCAGGAAATAACCCGATTACATCCATTTAATGGTTACAATGCTTGGGAACTACAGGAGACTCTTGATAACATTCTGTGCTAGATGAACTGAGAGTATTAAATACTCAATATATCACATCTCAAGCCCTTATGAACTTCATTAAAATAAGGAGGAAAATGATAACAATATATAATAAACCATGATTATATTTTCCCAAAAAACTTTGTTCTTACTAGGGTAAGTACTCTAACACTAAGACATTAAGGTCATGTTCAAGTAGAAACAACTTATTGTTCAGGTTAACCAATACAAGAGTACAGCATTTTAGCTACCACATAACCAAATACATTTATTGAAACTCAAAATACTTGAATGTTACAAAAAAGCTCACAGTAAGTCATAAGAAAAATTTACAATCAGCAAACAACAGCAACAAACAAGAGTGCTGCAGCTACAACCTGGACCATGAAATATTCACAGAAGCTCCAGCCTGGATCGGTGCGTTTCTCACGCAGGGTTCTCATGTCATCCTCAAATTTGCCCAGATTTTTGGTAAAGGACATGAGAAGAAGGGTCCGGAGTTTGGTGAGAAATGCACTCCAAGATTCCTGTGAGCGTGAGGAGTCTTTCAGGGGATCTGACAGTACCACACACCTTCACCAAAAATTAAAATAACCATTAGACAGCAAAAAACTCCATATGAAACTGGGAACATTTTGAAGATTCTTCCGACTAAAAAGTGGAATCTGGCAGACTTGCTATTGTAAGTAAACATTCTTAATTCAGGACGATCAAGCCAAGAAATCTATATCTATAAATACATGAAAAAAGAAACTGATAAGGTTCACCCATCTATTTTCTTACCACTTCATCTAATTCAAGGCTGCGGAGGAGCTGAAGTCTATCCCAGCAAGCATTGAGTGCAAGACAGGATATACAAGTCCATCTCAGGACAAACACAGGCACAAATGCAGACATGCAAACACTCACACCAGGGCAATTTTCCCAGAAGCCAATTAACCTACCAGTATGTCTTTATATGGTGGAAGGAAACTGCAGCACCCAGCAAAAACCCTTGCAAACATAGGGAAAACATACAAACTCCACGCAGATAGCACCCCAGATCCAGAATTGAGCCCAGAGCCCCAGCCCTGTGAGGCAGAAATGCTGTCTAACACACCACCATGCTGCTAATAAGTGTAAGTAACATATTGCACGCAAATTTAAAAATGTACACTATAAAATCAAGTTTAAGGAATTTAAGACGTAAAAAAGAAAACACAATTCTGAAAATGATTTAAAAGCAGTTAACCACAACTGTCAATGTTCTGGAGGGATTTAGAATTTACATATTAACAAAAGAGTTCTTTAAGACAACATAAGATAATACGTTTTAATTAGATTTTACTGAGAACCTAACAAAAACAAAAACTAACACAAACGCAGAATGCACTGCTTGAGGTAAAATTCAGATTAAGGCTGATTATACAGTAGAAACTTGACTGTAAAAAGTACCTGTCACTTTGTTTGTTGCAGAAATCATTCCTTATTTTATCGACAATGGATGTCCGGGGAAGGATGTTGGTCTTGTTCTTTTTTTTAGCATCGCTCTCCACCACCACAATCAGCCAGTCAGCTGTGTTGTACGTCTTGAGTGTGTTCTGCCATCGAACAATGTCATCTTTCACTGAGGCCTTGTATACCTCAGTGTCCTGGGAACCAGAACAACACAGACTTATGGGCAGGATCATGATTACATTTTAGCTATGAGCCTCTAGGGCCAAAGGTGCTGTACATTTACAAGCTTTGACACTATTTTTTGGCAAAATTTTACATTAACGTAAATGAATTATAGTAGATTTTAAAATAGTTTTAACTTTAATATGTATTGTGCAATTCCAGCAGTCCCTATTATAAGTTTCTCATTGATGACTAGAGAAATTGTGTGTAAAACTTCACTGCAATTATATCATTTTTAAGGAATCAACAGCCTGCAATGTACATGGTTTGCAGATTATGTTATTCACAAATGAAAAATTATTGTGAGGAGTGAAATCTAACACTAAAAATTCTTCTTCTTGGTTGATACTGTTGAGCACTATAATGTGAAGATTTTACATTTGTGTGTCCTCATCTACTGCCTGGGTCATGCAACAAAAAGAACCATATGTGGAGGCCTGCACATCTTCAGACTTTTTTGAACATTTGACTTGATTATATTTACTTTTCAAAAGGAAATCGCTTTGATTCGGGCAGAACCAAACTACAACCCAGAGGGTGTACAAAAGATTCGAAGACCTAGAAAAGGCTACTAATGACTGACCAACATCAGTTATGTCACTGGAGTCTAAGGTAAATAAAGTTTCTAGTGAAGCAACCAATCTTATTACAAAACCTACTGATTTAGTTGGGAGGTCGAGATGTAATAACATCCAAATTATTAGAATTGCAGAGAATCTAGAGGAACCACATCCCACTGAATTTATTTCTCATTTGTTGTGGAGGTTTTCAGCACAACTCTGCTGGATAGGGCACACAGGTCTCTCCACCTCAAACTCTGTGAGGGGAAGAGGCCATGTCATTTCATAGTATTTACAATATGGAGAAGTGAAGCACTTTTAGGAAAAGTACCCTGCTGTTCGTTATGGGCTGTTCTTCTCTGCTTCGTTCAAGATTTCCAAAATATCTTTGAGAACCCCAAGAATGAGTTTTGATAACCAAAACTTTCTTGGTGGATGCTGTCAAGACTGAGTTTGCTTACAAGATAAATGTGTATGTCACCCGCAATACAACCAAGAGATGAAAAGTTCAGCTCTCTCTTTTTAATTTGCAATGGGATAATTGCATTGTGACTTTAAAATCTGAACAGGTGAACTGTACATTATTCCATGCTGTTTTTTTTTAAGTACAATACCAGGCATGTAAACAGATCTCTTTATTTCTGCCTATGCATTGCTCTTATTTATAGCCATGTTAACATTGTAGAATTTTTTTGCTGTCTTTCCCCATATTAAGCTTCATATATTGGTACGCATATTGAGGGTAATTAAATTTTTACATTGTAGTTTTGAGAAAATGTCTATATTTGCATTATAAATATAGATTTGAAATAAAGTGTGAACATCTCAAACAACTTGGAACATGTATGGCCTTCTTACAAAAGACCTACTTTAATACCTCTAACTACTTTGAAGTTGGTTAGGGCAGTTTTTCCATTTCAATTTTCAGGCAAAGGCCCGTGGGGAGCCTTTCTTGTGTACAAAAAAAGACATCTTTCATAGCATCTCAAGTACTCTTGAACCATATGGCAGGAATGTAATAGTTACAGGTTATCTTTTTAATGTTCCATGTTTATGTTTTAATAATCATAGCAAATGTCTATACCCCTAAAAGTGATGACAAAACTTTTATTTTTCAATTTGGAATCTCATAACTTAATTACTGGGAGGGGGCTTTAACTGCATCCTTTATCCTACATTGGACAATTCCTCCTCTAGGACAATCCCTATCTCTAATACTTCTTCAGCTATATAATCCTTTTCTAAATTTTATGCTATCTCTGACACTTGGCATTTCTTACACCATTTTGCAAGGCAGCTCTCTTTTTTCCCTCCCAAACATACACTACCACGCCTCATTAATTTATTATTTTTTTAGATAAAGTTACTTTCCTCAGTTCATTCTTACAACTATGACAGCACATTAACTTCAGATTATACCGCTCTTATTGAGGAGATAAATCAATCAATTGAAGATTCTAAACAGAGCCCATGGACATTTAACCTATGCTTTCTAACCTAAATTGTGGGGGAGAAGGTTTTCTACTACCCTTAAAAGACAGTCAGGAGTCCGTCTCTGAAGTTAAAAGAAGCACTTATTACATGCACATGGGAGTGAAACACACAGAAATGCTCAATGTATTTTTCTCCAAGCAATTAAACTAAAACAGTCCTTTAATACTTTTCTGTTATGTATCACACTTCCCTATACTTATCACATTGGCAGCATTCCATGATCATGCCCATCTTCCTCTTCCCTAATTGCAAAATATTTTTAAAATACAATTGGTTACTAAATTTCATAGCTTAGTAAAGCTATAGTATACAGTGGTGTGAAAAAATGTTTGCCCCCTTCCTGATTTCTTATTTTTTTGCATGTTTGTCACACTGAAATGTTTCAGATCATCAAACAAATTGATATATTAGACAAAGATAACACAAGTAAACACAAAATGCAGTTTTTAAATGAAGGTTTTTATTATTAAGGGAAAAAAAATCCAAACCTATATTGCCCTGTGTGAAAAAGTGATTGCCCCCCCTGTTAAAACATAAATCAACTGTGGTTTATCACATCTTTCGAAAGCTGAGTTCAATTTCTCTAGCCACACCCAGGCCCGATTACTGCCACACCTGTTCTCAATCAAGAAATCACTTAAATAGTACCTGCCTGACAAAGTGAAGTAGACCAAAAGATCCTCAAATGCAAGACATCATGCTGCGATCCAATCAAATTCAGGAACAAATGAGAAACAGTAATTGAGATGTATCAGTCTGGAAAAGGTTATAGAGCCATTTCTAAAGCTATGGGACTCCAGCGAACCATAGTAAGAGCCATTATCCACAAATGGCGAAAACATGGAACAGTGGTGAACCTTCCCAGGAGTGGCCGGCCGACCAAAATTACCCCAAGAGCGCAGCGACGACTCATCCAAGAGGTCACAAAAAAACCCACAACAACATCCAAAGAACTGCAGGCTTCATTTGCCTCAGTTAAGGTCAGTGTTCATGACTCCACCATAAGAAAGAGACTGGGCAAAAATGGCCTGCATGGCAGAGTTCCAAGACGAAAACCACTGCTGAGCAAAAAGAACATAAAGGCTCATCTCAGATTTGCCAGAAAACATCTTGATGATCCCCAAGACTTTTGGGGAAAATACTCTGTGGACTGACGAGACAAAAGTTGAACTTTTTGGAAGGTGTGTGTCCCATTACATCTGGCTTAAAAGTAACACAGCATTTCAGAAAAGGAACATCATACCAACAGTAAAATATGGTGGTGGTAGTGTGATGGTCTAGGGCTGTTTTGCTGCTTCAGGACCTGGAAGACTTGCTGGTTGTAATTGAACCATGAATTCTGGTGTCTACCAAAAAATCCTGAAGGAGAATGTCTGGCCATCTGTTCGTGACCTCAAGCTGAAGCACACTTGGGTTCTGCAGCAGGACAATGATCCAAAACACACCAGAAAGTCCACCTCTGAATGAAACAAAATGAAGACTTTGGAGTGGCCTAGTCAAATTCCTGACCTGAATCCAATTGAGATGTTGTGGTATGACCTTAAAAAAACAGTTAAGGCTCGAAAACCCTCCAATGTGGCTGAATTACAATTCTGCAAAGATGAGTGGGCCAAAATTACTCCACAGCGCTGTAAAAGACTCATTGCTAGTTATCGCAAACGCTTGATTGCAGTTGTTGCTGCCAAGGGTTGCCCAACCAGTTATTAGGTTTAGGGGGCAATCACTTTTTCACACAGGGCCATGTAGGTTTGGATGTTTTTTTTTCCCTTCATAATAAAAACCTTCATTTAAAAACTGCATTTTGTGTTTACTTGTATTATCTTTGTCTAATATTTCAATTAGTTTGATGATCTGAAACATTTCAGTGTGACAAACATGCAAAAAAATAAGAAATCAGGAAGGGGGCAAACACTTTTTCACACCACTGTATTCTATACTAAGTTCCTATATAACACAGTACAGAATAACCCTGTAGCCTTTGTGTCCAGCATTCTTCCATTCTGGTTCAAAGCAGTTCTGTTCATCCTATAAAATACCACAGCATCAGCAGAATAGTTCAGAAAGACCCTCTCAACAATTTTATCTTATTCATTACTTCCAAAATAGAAATATTTTTAGAGACATGTAGCACCCCAGACATTTCTACATTGCAAATTTGTAAGGCTTACCAATGGCTTCAATTTTATTTTTTCCATATTAAGCAGAACCGCTCTCAATGAATTTCTGGAGAATGCCAATAAAAATATCTACAATAAAGTTAAAAGTACGAGATTCTACTCTGGTGTCCATTATTTTAAAATGTAAAGTTACTGGTATAGTGCAACCACGCCAGGAAGCAAAGACAAATATGATACAAGTGGTTTGGGAGGCAGCCATATGTCTAAAGGCAACAGCTGGAAACACAACCTGTCACCTTCAGGATACAATGTGTTAAAGATGACCATTTAAAGTTTCCTGCATGTATGTGGTCTTCAGAGCTGGTTTGAAAAGAAAATGCATTTCCTGAGGGTGAACCACTAAAAGAAGTTACTTGAATTTGTGTTACTACATTTGAATGACAGTTGAAGCAATTCATAAATCCAACTGAGCTTTTCTGACCAGTTCATCAACATTTTAATTAGTGCAAAAAGGTCAAATTAATCTTTCTATGATGAATTTCTATCCACTATGAAATTCTGAATTCCTTTTCAGGATGCCTGAGAATTTGTTTTTCACTTGGTGGTTTTGTGTTAGAATGTTTAAATAAAGTTAAAATAAATTCTTATTTAATGTGCCTTGATTTCAGGCTGTCGGGACACAAAATGTGTTACTTTGGAAGGGGTGTGCAAGCTTCCTAAAGGCACTGCAGTTATTGAAAAGAGCCAGGGGAAGTCTGTTTTAGCTCAAGTTCTTCTTCTATCCTTGCCAGGTATAGTACTGTACATACAGTTTAAAATTATACACCGCTTACATACATAAATCTAAACTCTTTAAAATATTTCCTCATTTGAACCCAACATGTGGCAGATGGGGACAAGCCCATGCCATTTTTATATTTAAGCTCTTGTTCCATGCTGTTCTTGTTCCATTAATTTCTGGTCTTTCTCTCATCTTGAAATTGAACCCACTGCTTTTATTGCTGTTTTTGGTGTGCCAACAATCTTCCACTATAAAAATCACACAGGCTTTTGCAATGGATCTTATCTTTTTGAATTGGAAGCAAGCTGCCACACCCATATTTGTTCAATGGATCAGTTTCTTCTATTGGAGAAAACTAGATACATGTACAATAGTTGTACTATTAAGTTTTTTAAAGATTGGAAACAATTTCTGAACTACTCCTGAACTACTTTCTGAGGCTCCCTTCTATATCCTGGACATTGGTAATTCAAATGAATCATTAAAGAACTGACCTTTTTTGGCTTCCTAGACAGCTTAGTATAATTAATATTATGCTATGTTATATTTCTGTATCTATCTTTTGTTTATTTTTACTCTTGTTAGTGAGAGAAGGGGAGTGAAAATGTTGTATTTCCTTTTACACAAATCATTCTTAGTTGAAACACTAGCAACAATTTACATTTTCTGTAACATTAAATTATGTGTATGTGTGTTATTTTGTATATTTCTATCAGTTTAAAAAATATTCTTCTTGTAGACAATGATGTTGCACATGACCTAGATAATGAATCATTATGCTAACTTTGAATGCATGAACAGCATATACAAAAAAGAGTTAAAGTGAATGACTTTGCTGGTTAGACAAACCCACAATTTGAAAGGAAATGATAACACTATTTCTAATGATAGTTTTTATGAGTTATATATATATATCTTAAATGAATATACCAATATGGCAAACTAATTACTTTATCACTTATGGATAATCATGCCCAAAGAAGATATTTCTCTATAAGTTGCATTATTTATAAGTGATACCTGGACTTGTAATGTGACACTTAAACATTTTAGTTAGCTACAAGTGAAACACTCTACATAACATATGTTCCCTATACCACTTATTTTCATGAGTAAAAGCCTTCCACATTAAGTAATGAGTAAAGTTTACTCCCTTATGCTCCCAGACCCTCCATATTTACTTTCTTAAACACATGTTCCTATAGGAAACAATTCCCCTACTTATGTTATATGTGCTGCAACGTTCTCGTCTCGTCTTCACAGATGCTGAACACAGACAATAGAATGAAATATACTGGTTTAGTCATCAGGGTCATTGTACAGGGGTTGAGTGACATCATCCTCCAAAAAATGTACTGTATCTCAATAAGGAAAGCAGTCATTATGAATGAAATTGCTAATATGAGAGATTCCTCTGGGGGTACAAGCTGCTGCTCTCTGTCAAATGACCAGAAGCTGGAGGAAAATTGATCACCTGATCTGTTAAAAACCAGGAAGCAAGGACTTCCTGTGTCTGTCAGTGAGTGGAAATCTAACATTTCTAAGCATAGCCCTATAATCTCATCATTGTTTTTTTTAGGTATATTCCATAGCAATCATGTGGTTCACAAAAAATACTCAAAGTAAATGTCTTCTTTCTTAAAACAGTAATGTTAACTGTGTTTACATTAAACACTTACACAGCAATCTGTCCAGTATATGTGCAGGAAGGGGAATGTAAGAAGAGCTTTATTGCCTTCTTTAGGAAGAAGATCTTCTTTAAACTGGACAAAGTTCGCCTCTAGGTGAATCATTTTTGGTGGACGTCCATATGACCTGCAAATAACATTAAAGGATGAAGAAGTATGTTTGAATACCTTATGATATCGTTTAACTAAAACAGGTGTCTTATCAGGGGTGCACATTCCTTTTGCTTTGTGCAATGACATGGAGTTAAAAGACGGGATCAATTTTTAACATTCAACACGAGATACCCACCTGCATTTCAATTTAAAGCAATGGCATATTATGATAGGGAAGTGTAACTTGACAGTTTTATCAATATAACAAACTAGATAAGGACTTCCATTATCCCTTCCTTCAGCCTTTCAAGAAATAATTCAGAGGGTCATGGATATCTTTCAATAGGGACAGAACAGATCCACTGCTTACTGCAATCACTACTTTTACCATTAATAAAGACCAACTTAACTTTTTGGTCACCATTTCCCCAATTTAACTAGTTTGATTAAACATCCTTATTTATATCTCTAGACATCTTTCTATGTTGAAATACAATAGAAAAAAACAATAAAATATTATACAAAGACACACAAATGTTTTAAAAAATGTGCAGGTACTTCAAAGTGGCATTTCTTTTAAGTATATTATGGTCAATTTATCTTACTGGGGTTCAAAAATTTGGGTAACTTATGTCTGACAAACATTCAGAAAACCTGACAAAGACAATACTTAATTGACCTACTTAATTAAGTACTTAAATACTTAATTTAATCTGTTTCCCTTATGTTTCCCACTTTTAAATCCACTTAATATGGAACGTTAATTTGGAATTTTCTAACATTTTGGTAGCTGAAAATAAAAATAACAGAAGCATAATGTCTCTGAACATCATAAAAAGTATTAACTGAGGAATATAAACAAACATACATACAACCAGGGGTGGGCTTGGCATAAAAAGAGTCAAGGGCATGCAGAAAAGAACCTTATCCCCACTGTGAAGTGGTGGATCTGTAATGTTGTGGGGCTGTTTTTCTTCCAAAAGCTTTGGGGATCTTGTCAGGATATGGCATCATGGACTCCATCAAATACCAGGAGTTTTTAGATCAAAATCTGTCTGCCTCTGCCAAGAGGCTAAGACTGGGAGGCATACCTCCAAATCCACACAAAAATGGTTCACTGACCACAAAATCAAGCTTTTGCAGTGGCCATCCCAGTCCCCTGACCTAAACCCTACTGAAAACCTGTGGATTGAGCTGAAGAGGACCAAGGACTCCGAAGGATCTGGAGAGATTTTGTATGGAGGTATGGTCTCAGATCCCTTTATATGTGTTCTCCCACCTCATCCAACATTATAAGAGAAGACTCAGTGCTGTTATCTTCGCAAAGGGAGGGTGCACAAAGTACTAAATGCAGGGGATGCCAATAATTGTGACTTTTTTGGAGAAAAATGTTTTTTTTTAACTAATTTTACCTATTTCAGTGTAAAATCAAGCTGATAAACCACAAAGACATTCTGTCATAGCCTTTTTTGCTCATCTTTACCAAGTGTGCCAAAAATTCTGGAGGGCACTGTAAATACAAAGGTTGCAGAGGTGGTAAAATATTTTTTTTTTATTGAATCCTACAGAACACACAAAAATTTAGCTAATAATGCATGAATGTTCTTAAATCCACCTAAATGCAACAAAATACATGAGCCAGACCATCTTGCACATAAACAATGTGCTATACATAAAAATGAAAAAAGGCACCTTCTCCATTCCATAGGCTCCCTGGGTAGTTGCTGTGCAAGGCAGTGGTACAGTGATGTGAACAGACTCTGATCCCCAGAACCTGAAAGAGAAGAACACATATTTTGGTCCTCTTCGTTAATTCTGGTCTCTGGTGACAGTGCTTTTTGGTGCAGTAACTTGCTGGCAACAGCAAAGTGCAAAGGGTCTTAGTCTTCCCAGTGGAATCCTAAAGGCATATTCAGTACTGACAAACCATGACTACTGTGTTAACATGAAGAGCTGATGCTGATGGTGATTTTCATTATGATAAGAAGTAAAAACAAAAAGGCAAACGATGTTAGGATGTATAGTGAAAAGTGTCTAATTTAAATCTAGAACTCTTCTAGAATATCTTATAAATTTCTAGTTACAATGCCATAAAACACTAATGCTGCTCTGGAATTAGTCCAGACAAGAGCCACCAGATATATTCATAATCTTAAAAGAACATCCTACAATAACAAGCAAAAAAAACTCAAACATTTATGATGATTTCTTAATCGTCAAAAGTATTGACAACATTAAAGTTACAGACTTCTTCAGAATCAACAGTGAAATTCAAGCCAGATGACACAAATGGAAACTATGTGGATGTACATTTAAAACTGAGAACAAGAGTCATTTATTTTACAAACAGGTTGTAGGGGAATTGAACAAGCAACACAGCCATGTTATTGACATTATTACATTGTCCTCTTTCACAAAACAGCTAGCCAAGATGTTCAGATCAATAACTAAACTCTAACTTTTTTATATTCTTAAAGATCAGAGCATTCACAATGGATAGTTCTTCTTATGAAGATAAGTGCTTTGAAAATCATTAGCATAGTTCTAATATCATAGTTAACACATCTAATACATCTAATTAAGGTGCTACCCTAACCACAAGACATGCCTAAATGTCTAGGAATACATGAAGATAAGATGCAACTTATCTTAAATTATGCCATACATAGGGACCACTGTCTAAAGTAAAGACTGGAGCTTGAGGAAGTGCGAGTGAGGACAATAGTGCCCATAATTTGTACATACAAATGCAGCCTTTCAAAATGTACGTCAAAACCCACTGTCAAGATAAGCAAGGTGCATGCAACAGATCCTCCTTGATGGTAACAAAGTTCTACTAGGGATCTGACAGATTCTCTAATTTTCTTGTGCTAAAGTGAGGAATGTGTCCCTGGGACTGTTGCAACGCCACAGCTTTTCCATAGCCCCGATTCCTCCACTCTTCTATAGTGCCATATTCCGCATTATGATTTGGTATTCATACTGCCCCCCCAAAAATCAATAGGTGGCTCTTGTGGTGCCAATGTTGGTGAAATGGTAGCTTCATTTACTGTGCTATACTACTTCTTTAGATTAACTTATTATACAATATTAAATCATGTAACTAAAGGAAAATTTTGGTAAGTGAAAATATGAAGTATAATAAGGTTACAGAACATCATTAAAATATTATCATACTTTAATATTTATATGAAAATATATGTATATAGTTGGCAGTGTTGGTAAAAAATTTAAAATAACATTTTCTGCATCAAATTACCACCGAAAAGTGATTTTTCCCCCAATTTTAAGTCTTTAGCAGACTAAAAAAGTTTCAGCTTAATAACTATACTTTGCACAATCCATTTTCCTTCAGTCCCAACAAGCTTTCCTGTCCCTTCTGAAAGAAACACCCACATGACATGATACCGTATGTTACTACCAGGCTTAACTGTAGAAATAGTGTTGACTGGGTGATACACTGTAACTTTGGTCTAATGCCAACACTTTTCAATAACAAAAAAAAATCAAATTTTGTATGATCTGAATACAAATCCTTTTGATTTTTGTCTGCATCACCACTTAAATGCTATACTGGAAACTATATGTGGTATTGGAGTTGCACTCTGTCGTACAGATCAGCTTTGTGGAGTAACCTCGATATGTTACTTACTATTTCTCAGCTCAGGCACTGAACTCTATAGCTCTTTCAAAGCTGCCATTGGCCTAACACTGACATCCCTCAAGTTCCTTGCCAAGCTTCTCAGTGTGGAGGGATGACCAGATCTTAGCAGTTTGTATATGGCACTGTGTACCTTCCATTTCTTGATGACTGAGTAGACTGTACTGTTAGTTAAAAAACTGTGCATATACCTTTCTACTGATCTGGGCTTTCCAATTATTTTTCCATGAAGGGATAGGTATGTTTATTGTGAATTACATAAAGCAGCTAAATTTTTGATGCATATAAAAGGACAGGACACATTTCCATAACGAACCATAAAACTGAAACAAAACTTCTTTCTGAGCCCATACTGTAATGTTGGAAACCCCTTTCAAGGTTTCTGTCCTGCAGGACAGACCCAGCGCATGTTGATGTCCTTATTGAGCTCAATAACACTGTATCCAGCTCCTCTGATGATACAGTTCTATAAAAACCATGCAACATTAGTGACCCCTTTCCACATTACCTGCATATTGAAGACATGCTAAAGGACCAATCATCTTAGCTTTAAGAAATGTGTAATAAAATGCCTTATCATGGTTAGTGCACAAGAGGTTACATCACATATGTAATCTTTGGTAAGGACACTTTTGATCATATTAGAACTAACTGTGAATAATACCCTTAGAATATGTTAATACTGTCCTAAATTTTTGTTAAGTTTCAGAAAAGTAAAAAAATTAATCTATGAATTAAACGATGTCAATGAATATGCAATGCTTGTTTTTTTGTCATAATTGTGAGAAAAAAAAAACTAAGCACACATCCTTTGACAATATGTGAGCAGTTTTCATAATAACACACTTAATTCTACTATGGATAAAAACATCTGTTTTTTAAAAAGTGACCAATGTTCAAATGCAAATGAAAAGCAAATATGCACAATTAAAGGTTCACCATATGTGGTGTCTGTGCTTATACAAACTCCAACAGGGTACAAGTTTGCTTTACCTCTTCAACAGCAAAACATGGCATTATTGATGGAATGTTAAAACCAGAAAAGGACAGGGACAGAATAAAGGTTAAAACAATATGGAACGGCTGCAAACTTCTCACACATAACCTCACATTCAGGCATGATAACAATGTGAAGAAAACTGTCCAACTGAATTGTCATGGTCATACCTGAAGGGCTGCTGCCAAAACCACCAATTTAAAAGGACAGAATATTGCTTACATCACAGAATCAGGAGCTGCTGTGAAATACATTAACATGCTGTAAAAGAAACTAAACACATGCCGAGTGAGATATATTTGACCACTTCACAAAAAATTAAAAGCATTACGTATCACCTTATCCATATTAAATATGCCGGTGCGGTGGCTCTGTGGCTAAGGATCTGTGCCTGTGGCTGGAAGGTTGCCAGTTCGTATCCCACAAAGAGGTATCCTCCTACGTGGGACCCTGAGCAAGGCCCTTAACCCCAGTTGCTCCACGGATGCCATATAAATGGCTGACCCTGCGCTCTTTATTTACCTTCATCCAATGAAGAGCTTTAATCACAATGTAACAAAACTCCACACTTTTATAAGTTAAAGAAGTTTAATGTTAGAAATAAATGCAAAAAAATATATACAAAGATTACATTAGCATTCAGCACACTGAGTCAATACTCGGTGGAAGCACCTTTTTTGGATACTGATATTCAGTTTCAGCATTCAAGATTTGAGTAAAAAGTCATTATTTAAAAAATCATTTGCACTTTCAAAGCAAAAAAGGAAGTGAAGTGAGTTGGATTGGGTCTGAGACACACTGATAAAAGAAATCGTCTGTTTTACCTTGGTTAATGGTAAATCATTAAGAGTTATCAGCAATCTGGGAACAGATTAATTTTAAGTATTTGAACCTTGTTAAGAGAGCTTGCCATTCTGTTGTTTTAGGAAAAAGAGAAAGATGGGCTATCAAACAGTTTGTAATACTGGATTTTGATAGACTTGCTAGTAGAGAAGGATTTTAAGATCTCTTTTAGAGACCTTAGTCGAAATAATCCTGTCAGAAATTATTAGGCAGGCGAAGAGCATACACTGAGAAGGCACAGCCACCCATAAATACATAATCTGGTTCTGGGGACATGAAGCAGATTAAATTGACTTTAAAGACCAGATTGAAGTTTGAAAACAAAGGTCAGTGAGTTGCCTTAAAAAGCGAGAGCCTTAAAAAACAGTATCAATACTTTCAAAATTCAGTCTCTGATGGACAGGGAGCTAATGGAGCTTTGCTAGAATAAAGGTGATATGGTCTGAATTCCTTGCTCCGGTGAGTACTGTGGCAGCACTGTTCTGGAGAAGTTTTAATTTAATTGACACTTTTCATATGATCGGAAATATTGAAAGAAGCATCAGACCCAAATTGCTCACCACTCAAGATGGGGGATGACATTTTAATCGATGATGGGACTGCAGTAACTAGTTGTAGTGATCTGATTAGGTGTTCCAATCAGCATGGCAGCTCCTTTGGCATTAATAAGTATGAGCAAAATGTGCCTTATCCATATCCTGATATCCTCCAGACAGTTGTCTAAATTTTCAAAGGTGGTGGATACATCAGGTTTGGCATGAATATATACAGCTGTGTGTCATCTACTTAGCTGTGAAAGTTAATGCCCCAATACTGCATGACCTGACCGAGAGGGAGCATGTAAATGAGGAACCAGATAATATGCAGTCTCTCCTCAGCTTATAATGTGGTTTTTATTGTACTAATTTCTATCTACACAGCTCTTTACACGTGATCAATTAAGACATAGATGTGTGGGGATGACACTAAACATAGTAAACATTGCCATAAACACTGGGTACATTTTACTTAACACACGTGTTTAGCTAACAGAATGTGATGGATCTGAAACTTACAAAATGGTCAATAACATTTTAAGAACTGAAAGAAAATTTTATATTAGGCCTCAGCCAAAAAAATTAAACCATTTACCCCACACATCTTCATGAAAATTATGGGAGCTGCAAAAACCATACTACAGGAGTATACAGTATGTAAGATATTACATACCACAGCTAAGAACTGTGTTAGTGTGCTCTAAATCATATTGAATCTCATTTTCAAAAGACTTTGTTTCTTGAGATGTTTTTTTTTTCTACAAATACACAGAGGGCCAGGCGAAATAGCACTCTCCATACAAGCTTTTCGGCGTTTTCTGAAAAAAGCTCTGTTCAGCAAGTTTCGTAATGTTGCTGAACAAGTTTCATACTGATGGACTCAGCCGCTTAATACTAACTTTATGATACAATTATATAGGGGCCTTTACATACGATATTGTTACACCACAGAAATCGTTGCTCAGAATCTGTAGTTCTCTGTATCTCGTGTAATTATAGTTACACTACAAGAAAACTGCAAAATTCCGCTACATTGTGAATTATGTGACAATATGACACAAAAAAGCTATTTACATTTAATAAAGGGGACCAGAGCAGTATGAGGCCTGGTCGTTCTGGCACTGGGACTTGGACGAGCTGCGCTTCCTCGCCAGGTATAGAGTAACGTAGATATGAACAGCTCCTACATTTTGCACCATTAATTCACAAATCAGATACAGTATTTCGCGATTTCTTTGAATAATACAGAAAAATAAACAATGTTCAAGCGTGTTAGAGATCCAGCACTATTGCTGGAAGGCCCTTTAACCCTCGAATAGCCGCATTCCTTTAGTGACAGTTTTTAGCGTCTGCCTCACAAATAGTGTCAGAATGATATAAAAACTTACATGTTACTATCGGCTTATTTTCCATTGTGTAGATTATTGGCTTCTCCTCATGGGACTCCATGGACTCCGATTGTCAAAAATCGCCCCCCATATAAACGTCAATGAAATCAGTGTTGTTGTTAAGAAGCTGCTGTATCGCAATAACACTTCCTCTCTCCATCCATCCCCGCTACTTCCTGTATCTCCCTGAGCCATGACGACTTCCGGTGGATGCGTGGCTTAAAGGATATGCTGAGCAAAGTTGCTGAACAGTTATTTTTTTTAGCCGAGAAAAAAGATGAGTAGTAACTAGTTGTGTAACTCGGTAGTCTTACACATTTATTGCACTCATGGTCTGCGGCGCATCGGTTGAACGCTAAGCAAATAAACGATTGAGAATAAAAAAATATTTTGAAACATTTTCATTTATGATGTACTCTATCAAATAAATACTGACGTTATTGTCATTATTTATTATATTTTGAAGGCTTTACTGATCTAAGTAAGGCCTGACTAAAATTAAAAGTATTAACAAGTGGGCAAAGTATTATACAGTGAAATTGAATTACAAAAGCAGAACAACCCTGGATTTCAGACATGATTGAACAGAAAAGATTCTCTATTATTACTAAATAAATTATGGCTAAAGCCCTGTAGATTTTACAGATTATTTTCTGTTGGTTTCTGTCGATTAAGAGCTAACAAAAGTCAAAAAGACGGGAGGGCCAGAGTGTGGAGGAGGAGCTGTTGTGTTTCTTTTTTCCATCAGTATATACAGTATAGAGCAAGTGGGCTCCAGCATGTCTCCAGACTGGTTAATTCCCAAAAATCACAGGTCAAAGGTCACTGTCCATCACCCAAAGGGAGATCCACCAATCGTGGATCTGTAGAGAGGGTACCAGAACCAAACCTGATAGCATCTTGGCAAATCATTTACTGGTGATGTCACCAATATAAACTGGAACACAAGACTCTTGAGTTAACCACTGGCTCTCTCAATATCTCTCTTAACTGTCAAATCTGACTTTTATGACCACATGACTGCAACCAGTCCAAGTCAGAACGTAAGCTTTTCTCCTAGATTCCAGGCTGAGAGAGTGAGACAGTAAAGTACAGAATTCTACCCAATATATTCTCAGGCAGAAGAAATCTTGTGTTCATGAACCCACAGTTATTTTACCTGATCAATGAAATTAGCAAAGACTTGGACACTTTCTTTTTGTGAATTTCCAGAATATTCTGACCAAAGCTATAGCAGGGAGTTCCCCTTTTGTCTGCCTTGTAAACCTTAAGAAGACAAACTGTGCACAGAACATTTTAAAGACCAAAGTCAGCTGGGTACAGCTTTGGCAGAGCTGCCTGAGGCCAAAACAAGCTGTTAAGTAAACCAAGGCAAAAGCTTTCTCTCTTATATGTCGGGACCCAGCACTGAGAAGCTGCTACGGAAACGAAGTTAAATCTAATCAAGTACTCTGGTAATTTCCAATTGTTACAGAAGCCAGCATCAGTACTGGAGCAAAACCTAAGATATTGAGCAAATTTGGACAACAAAATTCACATGGAAGCTCATCTTGAGTGATGAGAAGAAATGGGATAGGGGCATTATAGCATTTTCTATAAAATAGGAATCTGCATTTATTGAGAATGGATTTGATGGATGGCATCAAACAATAGAAACGTTTTAAAACTATTAATTCAACTGTCACAGTGAAGCTTCTAACAAAATTCCCGGTTCCAGTCGAGAGGGAACGCTGGTGCTTTTGGCTGCCGCTCCTCTCCAGTTTTTCATTTTTTATCTACTTATTTTATTTATCACCAGCAGCCATATCACCCTGAAACTTGCAACTGGCAACCCACTGAAGCTAAGCAGGTGTGAGCCTGGTCAGTAGCTGGAAGGGAGACCTCCTGGGAAAAACTAAGGTTGCTGCTGGATGTGGTGTTAGTGGGGCCAGCAGGGGGCGCTCACCTTGCGGTCCATGTAGGTACTAATGCCCCATAATAGTGACAGGGACACTATACTGTAAACCGGCGCCGTCCTTCGGATGAGATGTAAAACCAAGGTCCTGACTCTATGTGGTCATTAAAAATCCCAGGGCGTTTCTCGAAAAGAGTAGGGGTGTAACCCCGGAGTCGTGGCCAAATTTCCCATTGGCCCTTACGAATCATGGCCTCCTAATAATCCTCCTCTATGAATTGGCTTCATTACTCTGCTCTCCTCCCCACTGATAACTGATGTGTGGTGAGTGTTCTGGCGCACTATGGCTGCCGTTGCATCGTCCAGGTGGATGCTGCACATTGGTAGTGGTGGAGGGGATCCCCATTACCTGTAAAGTGCTTTGAGTGGAGTGTCCAGAAAAGCACTATATCAGTGTAAGCAATTATTTTTATTAATATTATAATTATTATGTTCTTTTTTCCTTTTTCTTTTCGGCAACACCGATTTCACGTTATCCGCGTTATATGTTACAAATTCACAAATGCGACTTCCACTTGCATTATGAACTGAAGACCTTCACCACTTGCTACCGCCTTACTCTGGATTTCCTTCCTGTCTTGATTCATCGATCATGTCTCTGAGGTACACTGCACTGCAACTTCTTCAACTGAAACAAAGCTACTTCCTGGTGAAAGACACAAAAATTTCTGTTTTACTGGGATTTTACGACCGAGTCGCTACCCGCAGCAGCACAGGACGCAGTTTCTTTAATTTGTCTGCCAGCGGAGTCTCTATCCCTGCCTTTCGGCACACGACTGTAAGTCCATCCCGTACCGGCGCCAACCTAAAAAATCTCCTCTTACTACCGCACCTGGAGCACACTCCGCTTCCCCTGAATCCCCGAGACTGGCCGGATCAGCGCTACTCAATAACCGTTCAATAAACAAGGCTCTTCTTTTATGTGAATTAATTAAAGAAACAAAACTGGACCTTCTGTGCTTAACCGAAACCTGGCACAAACAAAACCATTGACTCCTGTTCAACCAACTTGTTCCACCTGGGTATAGTTTGTTTGAACTTCTGCGTCTTTCAGGCAGAGGCGGGGGCATCATTATTATTTACAACCTTTTTTACAGTCTAAGTCCTATTACCTCGTCCCTCTTCTTTTGAGTGTATTATTTTAAATGTTTCTATCCCCCAGTCTACTATTATTGCCACAGTTTATCGACCACCCAAACCCAGTGAAGCCTTCTTAGGTAAGTTTGCTGATTTTCTCTCATTCTTATGCCTTAAGTTTAAAAGGATCCTTATTCTAGGGGACTTTAATATACACATCGAAGGTCTTCCAGTCTGGCTAAAGACTTCCTTTTTCTATTGGGATGCTTTGATCTTACTCAGTTTGTTTGTACCCCTACACATACTGTAACAAAGGACACACCTTAGATTTAATTATTGCCAATGACTCTTTTGTCTCCCACTGCTCCCCCCTTGATCTAGGCCTCTCTGACCACTTAGCCATTCTTTTCAATCTGGAATTACCTTCCCCCTCACGCTCTGTAAATTCTAACACTTCCCCCTCACACTCTGTAAATTCCCGAAACTGGCGATCAATTGACCACCCAGGGTTTGCAAATTCTGTTCTGTACTCCTTATCTTGTTTCTCTTCCTTTGACCCTCTAGAGGACAAAATACAGTTACTCGACAATGCTCTTTTATCTACCCTCGACACCTTTGCTCCTTTAAAAACTCGAACCATCTCCTTCTCTCGCCCTGCCCCCTGGTACAATGACCATCTGCAATCCATGAAGGCAGCCTCTCGCAAAACTGAGCGTAGTTGGCGTCTTTCTGGCCTAAATGTACATTATCAGGCTTGGAGAGATTACTTATCTCAATATAAGGTTACTATAGAGTCTGCTAGATCTACCTACTTCTCTCACATCATTGAAAATCACCAAAACAACCCCAGACATCTTATCTCCACCATCAACAGACTGCTCAAGCCAAACTGCCCCACCACATTACCTGCCTCATCACAAGTTTGCAACACATTCTTAGATTTTTTTAGTACTAAAATTGACAACAACCGACATCACATTCTCTCCACTATGCATATCATTTCCATTCCTTCTCCCTCCTCATCCAACTTCTCTAGTTCCCTTCTATCCAGCTCCTCTCTTCTTGACTCAGCATCCCTCAATAAACTAGTTACACGCATGAAACCCAACACATCTATTTTAGATCCCATTCCCACCACTTTATTTCAGTCCTGTTTCTCTTCTCTCTGTCCCATTGTCCTCAATATTATACATGAATCCATGAGCACTGACATTGTACCAAAAGTCCTCAAAACTGCTGCCATTACCCCCGTGCCAAAAAGGCCTAACATGGCTCTCGACAACCTTAACAATTTTGCCCCATCTCCAACTTACCATTTCTTGCTAAAATTCTAGAACGTGCTATCACACTTCAGTTACATAACCACCTCATGACAAACAACCTTTTCGAACCCCTCCAATATGGCTTCCGTCAACTTCACAGCACAGAAACTGCCCTGGTCAAAGTCACTAACGATCTTCCAATAGCTGCTGATACTGGTTCTCTTTCTATACTCATCTGTCTTGATCCCGGTGCTGCTTTTGACACTGTTGACCATAACATCTTACTTTCTTGACTTGAGACTGTGTTTGGAGTTTCTGACACTGCTCTCAAGTGGTTCAAATCTTACCTCACTGATCGCTGTCATTTTGTCTCTCTTAATGGGTACAGGTCTGAAACTGGTCTTGTCAAGTCTGGTGTTCCTCAGGGCTCAATACTGGACCCCTTGCTCTTCAGCATTTACATGTTTCCACTTGGTCAGCATTTAAGATCACATGGCCTCAGCTTTCATTTTTACGCTGATGATACTCAAATATACATCCATACCAAACCTGACACTGATTTGGCTGTCTCTATTCTATCTAATTGCATCTCTGACATAAAATTTGGATGACTCAAAACTTCCTTCATCTTAACTGCAACAAGACTGTAGTCATGCTTATTGGCACCCCCCATCAACTTCGTAAAGCCAGTCCTGTAACCCTTTCTGTAGATGGTTCTGTACTGTACCTTGGGGTTATATTCGATTCTGGCTTAACATTCGACCCACATGTACAGCATACTGTCAAAACATCTTTTTTTCACCTCAGAAATATCACTGTACTATGTCCTATGCTATCACTAACTGTGGCTGAAAAGCTGATCAACACATTTGTGTTCTCTCGAATAGA